CGTTATGATTAAAGTTTAAAACCTTCGTTTTCTCTCTCCAGACGAGCTGATCGTGAACCTGGCAAAGGCGCTCGAGTTTGTAGTTGTCATTTCCGAGGAAGTAAAGAAGAAGGCCCCGAGGTCTTTTCCTGGAATAAAGACAAACTATTTGAATCTCGAAATGCTCCAAAAAGGAAAAAGCAAAGAACTGAAGTCCCAGAGACAACGACTATCGAGCAGATCCTTTCAGAATCTTCGACGAAGAGCAACCAGAACGAGCCTTGCGAGCTCAGTTGCGAGGAGATGCAAATGAAATGCACTACTTTGCAGACTGAAAATATCCTGCTACAAGCAGAGCTAGGGACATTAAAGACCCAAGTATCCGAGTTGAAAGAAAAAGAAAGCTACTTAAAAAGAAACTACAGCTCTTTTAACATGGATTCAAAGGTAATCAACATGGAAACTGGCCTCCCAAACAAAGAAATGTTCCACATTGTTGTCGAATATGCCGAAAGATACCGCAACGATATTGTTTACGTGTGTGGCTGGAAAGTAGACAAGATATCTTTTGAAGATCAAATATTGATAACATTGATGAAGATTAGACATAATTATCATAACTTACATTTAGCTGAACTTTTTAGTTGCAGTACTGCTACAATAGCGAATATTGTGACAACATTTATCCATGTTTTGCACCAAATTCTATATGAAGATCAAATGGAGATAGCTGTTCCATCCAGACAAAAAAACAAAACTTCACTTCCAGGCTCATTTAGCTTATTTGGAGACTGTCGTATGGTAATAGATTGCACCGATATCGAGGTTGCTACACCTAAGCTTATGAGTGACCAAAAATTGACATATTCAACGTACAGGGGTATGAATTCTTTTAAGACAATTGTTGGTGTGGCACCCAACGCGGTTATAACTTATGTAAGTAAACTTTTCCCTGGCTCAGTATCAGATAAAGTAACGGTTCAAAAGTCAGGAATATTAAAGCATTTTGTTGCTGGGGATATTATACTTGCGGATAAAGGGTTTTTGATAAATGATATTGTTCCTAATGGTGTATATGTGAACATTCCCCCATTCTTGAACAATGGAAAATTTACAGAAAGTGAAGTTAAGTTAACAAAGAGCATTGCAAAATGTCGTATACACGTAGAACGTGCTAATGCTAGATTGAAGAACTATAAAATTTTAAATTTTGTGCCACCATACTTGCGATCCCTCTCTGGTAAGATTATACAGCTATGTGGTGCTTTAGTTAATTTACAAAACCCATTAATTAAGGAAACCAATGACACTGTTGACTTTGATTAGTCATTTTAATTGAAATATTGATCATCTTACATCAGTTTACTAAGGCCTGGTATACATTGGCATTGTCTGATCATAGTTAATCAATTAACTGTATTCTGATACAAAGAGTGGACAGGTGTTGTGTGATCTGTGAAAAGCTTGTAACCCTATTTTACTTGCTCATGATACAAGGAATCATGATACACAACTTAATGACAAACTATTTATTTCTGATCAGTATTCCTGCCACCACACCCTTATGCTAGTCTTATTATGAATTCAGATAACCAACTGTATTCAAATACGATTACAATGAATCTATCATTTTCTTGTCTCAAGTAGCTAATGTAAAAACCCCAGCAAATGTTGCTGTTTAAAGAAAAACAATTTTAAGATTAACATGAACATTTTTATTTTATATACACCCTTCAGTTACTGCATATTTGTTGTAAAAGTTGCAATGATTTTACCAAATAAAACAATATTTTAAAAAATATTTCTAAAAGTATGTATTATCAAATCCATTACTTTATAAAAAACTACATTAATTTTACAACAAAGTCTTAAAATTTAAAGACCACCATCAACAAGTGCAGGAATCATGTGAATTGTATAAAATTCTTGAAGTGAAAGAAGATTTGGTTCCCATGTGCAGTCTTTCTGGATTGCCAACACAACAGTTTGCATTGTTGTCCAAACCACAAAGTAACAGATTTGCTTCCCAGTTATAAACAGCTGACCCTGGACTTGATGCCAGTAGTGGTGGGATTGTTTTAAACAATAGCCAGCATCTCTCTTTACTAAACAGAACTTAGGGTCTTTAACAGCCTCCTCAATTGTTGAATTGCGATGTGTGTAAGGGCATTTGACTTCAATGATCGCATTGTCATCAACAAGTCCATCTGGTGATGCACCCAAAACACCAGACTTGTGTAGCCAAAGGCCACAATCCTTTACTACTTTCATTGTTAATTTGGTGAAGGCCTTTATTCCTTCTTTCTCGTTAACGACACCCCATCGAACAGCCTGCACTCGAGAGATGTCGTATTCTCCAAGAACACGCTTGATAAGGGAAGGAGTGACTCTTTTTGCTTCAAGAACTGGACCAAAATTGCTAGCAGTCAAACGTCCTTTTCTCACCACATGCCACTCTCCACATTCACGTTGCTCTTTCGTGATCTCACAGACTGATTTCACTTGCTGCTCACTTACTTTCAATTTTTCCAACAAGAAATTTGTATCAAGTCCGCTTTCAACAAACTCTCTCGATAAAATGATTTCTTCGACTGTGGAGATCGGCAGACGATTCTCTTTGTCAGGTTCGGGGCTCAAAAGCCATAACATTCCTGTGAACTCGCCGTATCTCTTCAGCTTGTTCCGTAGCCATTCTCTGTCCTCATCTGTAGTTTTTCGTTTTAGGACTTTAGTTTCTTTGGGTGGATACAGATCTTCTACCGTTTTAACCACCTCGGATGCCTTTTGTTTCTTCCACTGACATTCGATGTCAGTTCTACTTAAGTTGTGGTAGCCATGAAGGAACAGAGCTACAGCGTGACTACACTTTGAACCGCCACGAGGGCACTCGCATTCTGTGGAACGTATTTCGTTTTCTTGAAGATATATCTGCGAAGGAAAGAGAAAAAGAAATATAAGCTTACTTTTCAAGATTTCCTTTAAACGAAGATTCGAAATCACTTAATTTAAATAAGTTTTGGTTTGGCGATGTTAACGGATAGACATCGAGTAATAGAAATTTTACACTTACTGTGACTTTATACGTCGTACTTTTCATGCTCGCTTGCACTGACCCTCTGATAATTCCATCACAATAGCAAAAAGATAGAACGTGTCCAGATTGGTAATGGTTTTCGCCACGGTTTAAAGATTTAGGCTCATCTGAGAAGTATTTTGCGAACGATGTTATCGACAACGCCGCCATGTTAAACACATGTGAGTTTGTTTAGATCCAGCAGAAATGCAACCATGGAAACGTGACTTCGGTAGAGTGGAGTACGATATGGTCCGAAATGATATGCATAATCTTAAAATCACATGAGTGCGCAGCACCCCTCTGATTGAAAATCCCAAGCTTGATTTCAGACCAAAATTACACTCAACTATTTGTGAAGCTATGATAAATTCAGAGATAATTAAGATATCCCATTTACCCCATGAAACGTCTGTGTACCCTCCAAACACGTACTGTCCTACTTTTATGATAGTGACTGCGTTAAGTTTCCCATCACACCTCCAGTGGAATGTATGGGTGCTCCATCAATCAGAAGAGGCGCGGTAACACAGGCGCCACTGAGGATGACTTCCAACTTCAGGTTTGAGAAAGCAATGCAGATAATTGTAGTAGAACAAGTTCCCTCCGATAACAATAGATATCTTCCCTGGAAGAAACATGAGAGAATAGCCCGCCAGCAATAAGTTTGTAGTTCTAACCTAGATGGCAAACCAGCCTGTGTTACCTGTGTGATGCTGCGTCGGTGGGGGAGTTCAACAAGGTAATTATAGTTCTGTCAACTGAGTTGATAATGTAAATTGGCCATTGTAAAAAATTTCGAAAGCTGACATTTCGAGCGTTAGCCCTTCGTCAGAGTGAATGACGAAGGATTAACGTTCGAAACATACCTAATGGGGGACCCGCTTGAACATTTCTCAATTTATGAGTTATATTCTGTTATCCATCACATACTTTCTCTCTTGCGCGATAGCGATTGTGACTGCGTGGTTGATCTTGACTAAGTCCTGGTATATTCTTAAATCTATTCTTCTTTAATCAGCGACTGCTTTTTTCAAGTGGAAATCTATTTTGGAAAGTAAAGGTACAATATTTTACCTTATCTAAAGTAGCAATGCAATTAGCCTGACTCCCTGCCCATGAACAATTCTTTGTGCACTACTGGCACTCTAAGGAGCCGCTTAGCCAGTACCTAGGCCTACAGCTGAATGCAACTTGTTTACCTTCCCAGAATTGATGTCCATGAATAAACCCGTGGCTTGGGCTTCTCAGCGGCAGATAAACTCTTCGACCTCAAAAGCAATGACAGAGAGAAATTATACACTTTAAAGATAATTTATTTCGCTATAGCCCAGGGCAAGGGACCTTCAGTTAGTTAACGTAAATGATGATGATGGTGAAAGTAAGAGAGTGGAAGACTTGTGATTTCGAATCAAACTCGTGCTCCGCACTCGTTTGGTTTTGAAATCAGACCACACTAGACTCCACTCAGTTCAATTATAATTGTTTGGTGTTTCACTTATGGGGTAGTATACGTCTGTGCATCTGCCGGGCTTAAAGGAACCAATCATTTAGCAGTCTTTCTGAGTCAAATCTGTCAAATTAGGTGGCTCACAGTCGAGGCAATCTTTTTCGTTCAAACTCGGCAAGTAACCCAGTGTTTGAAATTGCAATTTTCGCCCGTCGCCCGATCGGTGTGGACCCAAATTTTCAAGAAAATATTTAAAATACAAGATGGTCCACAGTGTATGACCTTAGTGTTTCGTTTAGTATATAGGCGTTGCCTATGATGACAGATATAATTTAATTAACACAACTCGTGATTGACATTAATTCCTCACAATGATTTAAAGTGTTAGCTTGTCGTGACTTAAACCAGTTTTTCAGAAGAATCAGTAAGACAGAGAAGTCGATTTTTGTATCTGTTCGCTTACCCGAATCTGCTAACCTGAAGTGAGAAACCTGTTTTTACGACCCGCCACAGAGTTAAGTTTCCAGTTATGTTTTCTTGAAATTTGCCATGAGATTAAGACTAAATTTGCGTTTTCTGATTTCGAATTACAAATGTATTTCTCTTAGATCGAATAATCATTAAAGTTTGGATAATATTATACGGTTTGTGGTGGTCGTCTGAGCTGACCAGTTCCGAGTAAGGAAACACTTAGCTCCAAGTTTCGAGCGATTTTGGCGAGCGTGTGCGAGACAGAGCTTTCCTACCTATCCTCTTCTTTGGTACTGCTAGGACGTTAAGCTGAAACACAGCAAAACGGCCTCAAATCGCGACAAACCAGCACAGACTCTTTTGTATGAAGGTAAGACTTTATTTCTTTGATTATTTCACGCAACTTTATATTTACAGGGCTCAAAAGCAAGTCCAACTAAACCACTGTACAAACTCTATAATAATCCACGGTGAAAGAGCTTGTGACAGAGCCCGTAGCAGAGCCCGTGGCAGAGTCTGTGGCAGAGCCTAGGCTGCCTGTGTTATCAGCTGATGACCAATGTATCACAGATGTACGATCGAGTGACGCAGTCCTAACTAAATGTTGCGATGTGTATCGACCTGTATGTTATCAAATGTTTTGTATGCTTTTTAGATACGGTTCTACTTGTTACAAGCCGAAAAGTAATGAAACAAACAAATTAGCATAAAAATACTATTGAATTATTCTTTTTATATTCATAAAAATGCTCTTGAATTAGAAGTGTCTTGCTTTTGTTATCTGTTGCAGTTTATATATTTTAAGGTTTTATTATCCCATTTGTCGCTTTTTCAAGGCAAATTTTCAGAAATTAGTGAAAGAAATATTCATAATAATACATCTCTTTAGTGAACCAGAAGAAGCAGGTGAGCTAGGCTGAGGAAGTTGAAGGAGAAGAAGATGAGGAAGATCCGGATTGGATTGAAGGAGAATTGGTAGAGGTAAGTGAGAGTGCGAGTGATAGCGAAGGTGCGATGGAGATTGTAGACACCGATGATGGTGTTTCAGATCCATTGCCCTCCACATCGCGCAACCTCGGCACCCTCAGTGGAAACCTACAAATCCTATGATGATGAGGATGAGGGAAATCAACATGCTCAGTTTCCACCCCCTCCCTTTACACCTGCACGCCCTCCCGGGATACAATTTCAGCAGCCTTTTCTTAGGGGTAATATGACTACTGCTCTTGAGTTTTTTAAATGATTTTTTACCGATGAATTGGTGAATAGTCAAGTTGTTGAGCATACCAACTGCTATGCTGTTCAACATATTTCTGGTTCCCACAGGTCTTATGCAGAAGCCGATGGAACGTGGAAAGACAACACCAATGAGATAGTGAAGTTGACAGACCTCCTGATCTACTTTTGTTTGGTGAATAGGTAATATGGAGAGGTACTGGAGTACCAAGTCCCTCTACCATGGTCTTTGAGCAAGATCCATCCTGTCCAGAATACGATTCCATGGCCTTTTTTTTGCTTCAGCAGGTGTTCATAAAATATGTGTAGCGCATCTCAGATTAGTTATTTTTCAACCAATTTTTATGGAGATGTTGCTCATATAACAAGGAATCGTTTTAGCGATTTTTTTGCCTGATTTCTTCATATCCTTTGGGTATATATCACTTGATTGACAGTACAAATTTTGATGATGTCGTATGCTTTATTATGCTAATTTCTGCTAATTTGAAGGCATTTATTGAGGTTGTAGTTTTTTTTTTTCGCAGTAGAAACTTACATTCCAAGAAAGCTTATTCACTGCTGTTTCATATGAGGTATAGCTAACTTCTCTTTTATAAATACTTGGGGAGAAAAATTTTTTTTAGTGATCTGGATCAATTTTTATGATTTTGGGGTACAGTTTGAAAACAAATTCTAATTAAATCTGTATGTGTTCTTTTTCAGCTAAATGCTCTGGATGTCGTGCCCATTTAATAAGAAATATTTTCTACTATTAAGTTACCTTAAAATTCTACTCGATTGAGGTCAAGGCTTTTTCAAAGTCACAAGTTATGCAAATGAGTTATGCAAATTTCATGCAATTTGTTTGCGTGATTTTAAAAGACATGCATTTTAGGAAAGAAAGTATTTTTTTTCTGTGAAGCTTATTTTGTCTTCTTCTAAATGAGATATGGTAAAACTCAATATTGTAAATGCCTTTCGAGAAAAAATTAAAGAAAGAAGATTGTCATTATGTGTAATTTAAAGTTATCGAGTAATATGGCAATTCAGAAACTGATTTTTTCCAGCTAGTCTTCAATCTTGGATCACGTCCCTTTCTTAGCTGTACTTACAACAAACTCGGTTGATCATATGCATCGTTCACGACCATTTTAAAGAACTTAGCTCAAACTATGATGTTGTCCTAAAGAGTAAATAAAGGCAGCTTAGTCATATTTATCTAAAGATAAAAATGTAAGTTTACTGCCGATTTTTAGTCTTCTTTTTATAAGATTCCGTAATCGAATCAAGTGTCTCTATACTGAGATCGGAATCTAGTTATTCGCACACTGTTCATATATCAATTGTGTGCAATAGACTCTAGAACATCTTATGAAAATGTTGAACTCTCTATCTCTTTCAAGAGTATAGTCTTTGAAAGTTTATGGGAATATTTTCGTTTCTCACATCTAAATTAGGCAACCGTCAACATTGAAAAACCGACAAACCTCATGAATTTTACCCATTATGCGCATAAGGCAAGATTTACAAACTACAGTCCCTTCAACCTTTTTTATATTGAAATATTTAGAACAAAAGCAAACGATACCGCCCTTTTTCTTAAAAAAAAAGAAAAAACATGGGGTGCGTGAGACTAATTTTAAAAGGTCTGTGTGTCAGCCAATCAAGCCGAAGGGTACACTGAATTAAAGTATAATTTTTACTAGCATTAATGATGGAGTTAGAACGACGATGGCGATTCAACCAAGATAGAAAACCTCCACCTCATCAGGTGTGAATTTGTAAGTCCCAGCCAGAATTGTTCTTGTGTTCTTTACCCCACTTGGGACTGAATAAGCACTGGCAAAGTATGTGTAGGAGTATTTGTTACTGTTTGCATTATCTTTGATGTTAATGTCGTGACCATTCCCAAAAGTTGGACCATAATCTGAGCGCGTGTAGATAGCAGTTGTAGGCCTAGTCACTAGGCTCTTGAACGGTGCTAGTCCTTCTTGATTTCGGAGAGAAAATATGAAAGCCTTGGAAGTACTGCGGTAATTACCACCAGATTCTGAAAAATAAGATATGTAATAAACATATTATTATGACTAAGTTCCTTTAGCCATGAAAAAAACAACAACAACAACAATAACAACAGCTTCTCTTGTCACACAATTTCCTTAGGATACACTTTATGTTTCGGTGCGCCCTAATGCTAATGGTGAGGGCCTTCTTAGGTTTGACCCAGATCTGACCAAATTTCAGAAGTTTAAAATTCGCAATGTGATTATGACGAGAAGCCCC